GGCCTGATGGCCTAATTCCCACAGGTTTACGCCAGCTAGTCGAACACAAACACTTCCAGCTCCCGGGGCAGTTTCAGAGGATCTACTTTGGCCAAATAGGCCTGAACCGAGGTTCAAAACTCCCAAATATCACAGTCCAATTCAGTGTTTGTATCCATGTCCTGGTAGCCTAGTTCCCGCAATTCTGCATCGGCCAAAACTGGAATTCCAAGTCCCTGAGGTGGTTCCAAAAAGTTCACTTTGGCCCAATATACTAATTCCCAAAGTACAGTTTAAAAAGATCCACTTTAGGCTTAATTTGTCTATGTTCCAGCCCAGGCATGAAAAAATAAAAAATAAATAAAAAACAGGTTTCCAAGCTTTAAACAGCAGTAGAGTGCTCAAGGTCACTGTTTTGGGCATTATGCCAAAAGAATTCAAGTAGTCAAAACATGAGATAACTCCAGACTTAACTAGTAATAACTTACGAGAAAATTTCTGAAGATTTATAACGCCAAATTATAATATTCTTAAAGTATATTTAAATATATTTAAATTAGTAGTTAATGTCCCATTAATCTTTAAATTATTTTCTTTGCATCAACTATCCCTCTCTCCAGATTTTCTGCCGCTCTATGATTGATGAGATTGATAGGAGATTCTTTTTCCTGTATATATGAATTGTCTTCTCCAGGGGTAATCATAAACAATTAGTTGTAAAAATATATCTCACATGGTAATAACACTGATGTTGAATAGATGATTGTTGCTTCTCTTATTGCTGGCTGCCGACGACATGCAAGCCCGTTGGCTGATTAGGGAGTTTCCTGGATCAAATGGAGATGACCGCCATCCCCCCCCCGGTGATCAACAGGCTTCCCCCCCAGTTCACCACCTCTTCGGGGTGGTTTCGATACCCTGGGGTGTCCCAAACAGGTCAGAATTCAGCCCAGGGGACAGAGCTCCATCCTCCTGCTGCTGTCTCAACGCGGTGTCAAGCTGGTCTCTCCACTTTAATCTCAAACCCCAGTGTATTTTAATACCTTGCATAAAAAGATTTTGTAAATAGTCTTACACCTTCTAGAGAAATGCTGTTTTATCCTTTTCATTTCTTTAACAGGACAGGTGTTTTCTCCTTTCCCCCTCAGGTTGTGACAAAATGACAGTGTAAACTATACACTGGCAACTACCAGCCTAATATGCACATTCAAGAATGTGTGTTTGCAGGCAGACACATGCACACAGGAAATGCAGTGTTGCTGTAGTCAGCTTTAGAAACTGTGGGGGGTCCACTACCTTGTGTCTACCCCAACCTCACATCATGCTACTGTTATCAATATAAAAACAAAGAGAGTAACAATGTTGAAACAACAATTAAGAGTCTTCCCAGGCACTTACTTTTGCAATCTGATCAAATTTTCCAAAGAGCTCATTCAGCATGTGAACCAGTTCTCCAGGGGAACAATCACTAGCCAAGCGAGTGAATCCGACAATATCAGCGTATAAAATGCTGCAAGTGAAACAATTGGCATTTAAGTTTTCCTAGCTCAAGAATTCATTATTATTTTATACCGAGAATTCTTTTAAAGAAACATAAGTGAAAGATGCACTACATACTTTGGTAAGAACAGAGTCCTTTTGCCAACCACCATATTTTGATACTGAATCCAAATTGGGGCAAATAGTACTTCCTGCCACTAAGAGAATCCTCTCTTAAAGGAATATCCATGAGAAAAGGCAGAAGGCACACTCTAAGGTAACCCCATAAGTCCACCCTGAGAGCTACTTAGTCAAAGCTCTGGCAGCCATCAAGTGGTGGCTGGGGACATGTTGCTGTTGTTGTTGTTTAGTCATTTAGTCGTGTCCGACTCTTCGTGACCCCATAGACCAGAGCCCGCCAGGCCCTCCTGTCTTCCACTGCCTCCCAGAGTTGGGTCAAATTCATGTCGGTTGCTTCGGTGACACTGTTCAACCATCTCCTCCTCTGTCGTCCCCTTCTCCTTCTGCCGTCACACTTTCCTAACATCAGTGTCTTTTCCAGGGAGTCTTCTCTTCTCATGAGATGGCCAAAGTATTGGAGCCTCTGCTTCAGGATCTGTCCTTCCAGTGAGCACTGAGGGTTGATTTCCTTTAGAACTAATAGGTTTGTTCTCCTTGCAGTCCAGGGGACATAACAGCTCAATTAAGCTTTAGATCAGAAGTGGGAAAACTATAATCTTGTAAATGTTAAAACAATGTCACCCCTATAATCCCTCGTAGGCCAACACCATCTGGAGGCCACAATCCCCCCCCCCCGAGTTAGGCTCTGCAACACACCTGCTTCCGCTGGAATCTCTCATTGGTGGTTCTCTCATATCCTGCAGATTCTACGTCCTGCTACCTTTCTGCATCTCCTGCATTTATACTCTGGGACTCTTAGACTGAAACCTGCCACTTCATATTCAGTGATTCTAGCTGAATGCCACTATCCTCAAAACTTCAGTGTCTCATAGGCCAAAAGCCTGGCCAAAGCAGACCAGCGTGACAGTTCCAACAAATTTCAAACTACCTATCCTCGAATTCTTGAGCAGGATGGGGAACCTGTGGCCCTATGAATGGTGTTGGACTTCAACTATTGTCAAGAGCTATCACTGATAGATAGGGATGGTGCAAGTTTTAGTTCAACAGGGGCACAAGACCCCTATTCCTGTCCTTGATACTGACATACATGCATTCCAGCTTTGCCACAGTTAATATCAGATGGAAATAATTGTGTTGATTGTACTGATTGCAGCTATACAGCTATTTACCTTGCATTAACTGCAGAGGCATCTTCTCATTTTCCATATTTCCCATGGAAATTTTTTAGATTATTTGGTCAGTAATATTTCAGCCTTTAGACTGCTTTCAGATTAGGTATACCCAAATAAATTCATCTGCTTCCCAAAAACAAATGTATGAAGAACAAGGTTTGCAAAGGTTATTTATTCTTTACAATTCTAAAGAAAGACAAGCTAACCAGCTAAGCCACCCTTCCATTTCCTATATATTTATGAAAACATATTGCTAGTGATGCTAATTGGAAGACTTCACACCAAGAGTTAGTCTCAGCAACTGTTAGTATTATACAGTACCTTACGTTGGTGTGCCTTCTGACATACAAATTATGGAAGTTGTTTGTGTTTTCCAACTGGCCTGCTCTGGGTCCTTGCAACCTCTGAATAATCTCAGCTTTCATCTCCATGGCTATGTGAGCAGGAAGCAGAGAAAGCAGGAGACGCTCCTGGTTTTGAAATCAGAAAGAGAAATCAGTCAATCAATTAATTTAGGCTTTAACTGAGCCTAAATTACCAATGAATGACATTGGTATAATATACTCCCAAGAAGATCTGGGACAAAAATATATAAGTCATGCTCTCATTTATATTTTTTCACATTTTTAAATATATATATACAGTATATAAATATAAAACACAGCTGTAGAGGCCACAATCAACTGGTTGGAGGGAAGCTTCTTAATCTTTGCTGTATCTGCATCAGTGCCCCGCCTTTGTTTCAGGTATTTTCCATCTGTTCCTCTGTATCTATTACTTATCTGTCTTGTTCATGAATGAACAGTGATATAGTGGTATATTTTGACATCATGACAGTCCTTGTAGTTACATCCCAAGGAGAGTACCCCTCCCAAAAAAGAAGTCCTATTGATCTATATCAGCAAACTAGTTCTAGCTGTCTTCATCTATACCAGAAGAAGGTTGTTTCTAAAGCTAGTGGACCAAGACTAAAGCTAATGGATCAAAACCAAGTCAGCCCCAAATATTTTGCAACAAAGCCAGTGTAACATGCAGATATATACACATTGCCCAAAATCCTGCGTGGATGTGTATATAGTGGAAACCAGATGATGTCATCTTCCAGCACTTGGTAATATTTAATGAAAACTAATTAAAAGCTTCCTAGTCATCTCTTTCAGGTTCTGAGGCTCCTTAGGGCTCCCCTTTGCTCTGGGAATGTCTTTGAGAGCCTCAGAATGGCAGGAGAATCTTTAATAGTAAACACATAAAATCACAGAATCATGAAGTTGGAAGGGGCCTATAAGGCCATTGCGTCCAATCCCCTGCTCAATGCAGGAATACAAATCAAAGGATATCTGCCGGGTGGATATCTAAATTTTTCTTGAATGCCTCCAGTGTTGGTGCACTCACTACCTCTCAAAGTAATTGATTCCATTGATGTACTGCTCTAATAGTTAGGACGTTTTTCCTAATATTGAACCAAAACCCGGCTTCCTATATCTTGAGCCCATTGATGCTGAACCTGATCACCATGGACAATTTCAATTGCACCAGTGGTAATCTGGCATATTGTTTTGACTACCTGAGGCTCCCCACTATCATTTCAAGTCCCCCCAAATCTTCCCCAGCGCACAAGGGAGACCTAGAGAGCCTCAAAACATGAAAGAGGGATATGAAGTATTTTATTATTTTTAATTAAATATTACTGGTGTTGAATAATGGAGTCATTTGGTTTGGCTGTTATTGGTAGGGGGACTCCCCACAGTCACACAAACACACTACTGTGAAGATAGCAGCTAAATTCAGAGGGAATGGAGTGAGAAAGGAGATGACATAATAACCTCTGCTAAACAAAAAAAAAATCCTGTTGCTTTGACCCTGGAAACCTTGGTTCTGCTACCTCAAGCGCTCCAGCCTAAACCACAGACTGAAGACTGGGACATTTCCACACAGTCTGTTCGGAGGGAAAGCAGAATAACAAGCATCTTGGAAGCTCCTGTGCATCAGCTGAAGGAGATGATGAGGAACATCTAGCACCTATTGGTCAGACACTGACTTTCCCATAGTAGCCATTTTCAATGGCCACTATGTTAGTCTGTTTCAATATGTATAACAAAAATAAAGAGTTGTGACATGTTAAAAGACTGACTGATACCGGTACTGGTGTAAGCAATATACAAACGTGTGGCCTAACTGTTAGGTTCCATGTGTCTGAGGACGTATGACGGCTCACACTGAAATAAATCTGCTCTTTAAGACACCACTACCCTTATGGTTTTATTTTGTTGTTGTTGTACGTGACCTTTCCCTCATGAACTGGAGATCTAATCAGAACACTATTTGATGCAGGCCACCAACCATTATATTCTTGTGTTACACCACGTCCCTGGAGAAATGCTTCCAGTTGCAAATCATTAGTGTCATACATGACATTAGTGCTGATAGCCATGTCATCACAGCAGCTGACACCTCAATGGCTGGATCTGACCCCTGCACAGTCCTGTTGTATACAACTTATCAACATAAAAACAAGCCAACATACACACAAAGGGATTCTGTAACTTTTTCTACACAGCATCAAAATAGTAGGGCATATGTGAACGTGAGGTTCTCCAGATGTTGTTGCAACCTCCATCATCCTGCATCCAACAACATCTGGAATGGTACAAGTTGCTCACCCATGTTTTACTGTAACATCATACTAACCTGATTTCAGAAACTAACCATGGCTGGGTCTTGCTAGTATTCAGATGGGAGACTACCTTGAAATACCAGGATATCTAGGTAGGGCTAGGAAGAATCCTATCTGAAACCCTAGACAGCCACTCCCAGCTAGAGATGATAATATAGAGCTAGATAAGCCAATGGTCCAGATCAGTATGAAGCAACTTCCTATCTCCCTGAGCTGCCCACCTTTGCATTATTGGCTTTGGCAGTGCCCTCTTGTCAGATCTCTTCCCATCTGCAGCGCTTTATACCACTTTGGAAGAAGACTAGTTGAAGCACAAGGAGAGTCTGGTCACTGTTGTTCTCATGAAAAGGGGGGGGGAACTGGAGGACTCCTGACAAAGCTTTGCTCCTGTTCCTTCTAAGGGCTTCAATGCCTCCTGTGCTTATACTGTGCAGGCACCAATCATAAGGCTAGTGCTACTAGTTCCCAGTAACAGTCCATGAAGATCAAAATATGGGCTGTGTCAATCATTATTTCCTGAGAAGGGATTTATAAAGTATTTATTTTTAGTTTTTAGGGTCCAGCTATCATGCACTATGTACTTCAAAACGCTTCTTCAGAAACCAGCCTCCTGCTTCTTTGTGCATTTAAGTAGGAACGAGGAAGATAAGAAACAGACACAGGCACCAGCTGAATTCATCATAAGTCAGGTCTCTGCTGAGGAAGTCTTCTTGAGATTCTTTTCACAGCAACAGTTTTGAGTCAGTTCTGATGTAGGCAGCACAGAACATGCTGCATTTCCAACAGACAGATGAGAAAACACTGGTGTGCTTATTTATCCTCCTTGTTAAGCAAAAAACGTATTTTCACTCTGAGGCCCATTGCTTCAGATCCAAAGCACAGTTTCAATACACAGTCCAACACATTTTCATATATTAATGCTAATTCATTTACTGTTATTGTATAAACCCACTAGTTGGGAAAACTGATTGGAAGAGCTACTACCATGCCTCCCAATGAAAAACATTATAACAGGCAAAAAATAAAGTGCATTTTAAAAGTTAATGGATTTCTATCATTTCTTCTGCTGTCTCTCTACCTGTTTTGCTTCTCCCACTCTACCATTTTAGAGAAAAAAAGTACAGTATCTTACTTTCTTCCTACTCATTCTCCTTCCCTACCCTTATGTCTAAAGCTCTCTTTCCCCAAGCAGTACTACTTGTCTTTCCCTCTCTGTTTAGAGATGTTTTGGATTGTGAATTCCAGCGCTTCTGTCTACTGGCCATCCTGGTTAGGGCTGCTGTGAATCAATATCTAAAATATCCCAGTGGCATAAGCTGGGAAAATATCCAAATGGCAACCGAAAGGTTGCTTTTGCCTTAAACATAGATGTTTCTTCCTTTAGGCCCATCCACAGTGAGCACTTGTTTAACTTTCTTTGCATCTATGACACTGAGGCTGCATCCTTATGTCTGCATGACGCAAGGCTGAAACTAGTATCAACAAAGTCAAAGCCAAAGGGGGGGGGGCAACCACTTTCTTTTCCATGCCTTTCTATGGCATTGCTGAGGAGCTACGTATTTTTGTTATGCTTTGCCCTGACTTCCTCCACTGTAAGACCTGCCTGAATGGATCCCAGTTACACTCTGAGGCATGCAGATCCATGCACTTTGTGGGTGGGTATCATTTGATAACCATGCCTTACTGCCACTCCTGTTTAGTGTTGAAAAGAGGGGAAAAATACATTAAAATACAAAATAGAGAGCAATGTGGTGAAAAACTGCATCACAGTACATCCAGCAGCAAATATGCCTCATGTCTGGACACCAGTTCAGGATGATCTATGAGAATCTGTAACAAAAACTACCAGAGCAACTTAGAGCAATGCCAAAACAACAGGAAACAATGCCACAACACAAATGCATATTTTTTCTCTCTTGAAACCTTAGACTATAAAGCTTCTCAGAACAGGAAAAAAAAACCTGCCTTTTTTTCTTTACATTGTAGCATACTGATGGTGCTATGCACATAGATTTTATACCACCACTATTATCTTATTTCATCAGCTCAGTTTTATTTTCCCAGCCTCAACCAGGATAGGAAGAATCATATGGGATCAACCAAAAGTGGAGAGAATAATGTTTGTTCACTTGACGAATTTATTCTACAGTCTGACACAGGTTCATTTTGATGGCAAAGTCTTCCTGGGTGGACAAGTGATGGCCTGGGAGACGCTACCCCAAGGTCAGGGGTTTGCTGTGTTCTTCAGAGAACCAATGTTGCCTAGAACTTATTTTCTCAGTGAAAACAGCAACAACAACATGAAATGAAAACACTGAGAAGCTTTCTATAAGGGATAACTTCAAAAAGTTATAGAGGCATCCCACCAAAGCACAGATTAGGAATGAGAGGCGTAAGGTACTGACCATGTTCTAAGCACACTTTTAGCTTGGGTCACTTGTACCATTGCAACAGATTGTTCAGTATGACTATAAGCATTAATTGTATGACTCAAATCACACTCTGAAATTCTCTAATCAATGGCAGACATGCAAGACATCTCATCAGATTATCTGAAATGGAAATAATTCCCTAAGAACAAGATGTTTGAAAACATCTGCGCTACGTCAGTGCCAGAGCATGCCTGAATGATTTGCCGTTTCCCTCTTTCTTCCCCTGATGCATGGCCTAAGCAGCAGGCTGATGGCCTGATCATCAAAGCTGTCTAAAACAGCTCTACATCCACTTGGGATTTTGTGTTAAGTCACTGTAGGGTAAGAGGGGCTGCTTGAAGGAATCATCGTTTTTGCTGAAACA